GGCGCCGTGACATATGAAACGCCTCGTGGAGTTTTTGGACTGAGACCCGTGTAAACCCGCACGGAAGTTGTGACACAACAAACAGAATACTGTTGGACGCCCCTCACAGCGTATTGGGTGGTATATGGTTGGTGCCGGACACCATCCAGCGACGGAAGACCCGGAAATAACCGACTCGAATTACAATAAAAAGAAATAAACGCATTGTCTCTGTGTCGTCGAGGCCATGTCCACACCACTACGGCGGGGTGCGCGCGTCCATCAGGGCCGGACAAGCCGGCCTCGACCTCGAGACAGACACCTTCACGATCTTAGCGCCCCCAGGACCTAACACTCGCGAGGACACAACGACCGACCGTTCCGAACACTTACAAGTGTTGCCCGTTTGAGCTGAGCACATACTAGTGCCCAACGGTGGAACACTTGCATTCTAGAGTTCAACCAGCTATGTACATGTCCTGACACAATTTCTTTATACATCTTCGCCTTTCCGAATCAACAAAATATACGTGCTCCGCAAAAAAAACCTCCCGATTCTCTCTCCGAGAGACGCGCCGCACGCCGGTCGCCGCCGCCAGGTCGCCGCCGTGCCCTCGCCGCGCGATAACTCAGCTGCCCACGCACGGTCGGCGGCTGGCTGTGGCGGCTCCGGCGGCGGCCATCTCGCGGACCGGGCCCCAGACGCGGTACCGGCCGCCCAGACGCCGACGCGACGCCTCGCCAGGGCCTCGCCCCAGCCAGCGCCGCCGCCGCTGCGCCAGCGCGCCAGAGAGGCACCTATAGATACAAATTTGTGACTAACAAGGTGGCCGAGCCGTCTGCTGCGCGGCGGGGCGGGGCGGGGCCCGACAGCCGAAGCCGATGCCCGCTGCCGCCGCCGCCGCGACGTGTTGTCCATCAGAGATCCTGCTACGGACGGGGTCTTATAGAAAATAAAACAGAAAAAAGACAACTTTTGAACATTATTGTTTTCCTGTGAAAACAATTCTTTCTCTCCACAGCCCACATATGAAGACATTACTGGACTAGACATGACGCGCCATGCATCTGATCTGACATGTGCACCATATTCCGTGTGTCCATTATAACTCGCCCAAGGCTTTACTTTGAGGCAGAAAATTAAGTATATTCCTATTATAAAATGTGCGTTTCAGACAGTCCCCAAGACTGTGTCGATTTTCATTTTATTTCTCAAATGCCATTTTAGCCCCATTTACCCGTAGGAAAGCAACCCCAAAGTTTGTTGGACTCCACTTTCACTATAAAACATATTAATTTTGCATGGACCATACCGCCACCACCCTCTCATCCGGAAAACAAACACCATCTGCATAAATATATCTGACCGGGCAGCATGATATCAATTAACACATGGCGCAGCGCAGGCTTTTATGCACTCGCCCCTACATAAAAGGCTCGGCGCAGGGGGAAATAAAAAGCCTCATAGTAAATGTTCTCACCCCCTCCGTCCGTGCGCTGGCCCGGCCGGCGGCGGCCAGGGCAGGGCACCGCCAGGACCGCCCGCCACCGATAGCATCAGATGAACGGACATCTAACCCCCACTAGCTGCATCTCCTCTCTCTCTCTCTCTCTCTCTCTCTCTCTCTCTCTCTCTCTCTCTCTCTCTCTCTCTTCTCTCGCTCTCTCTCTCTCTCTCTCTCTCAGTAAAGCCATTCGCCCTGTGTGCTGCGCGCGCTGCGCCTGGGCTCGCTTTCATGGATTATTCATTTTGCTGTGGCTTTTCGCTTTATTCAGCCAGCGATAAAAATCTTTTTTTTTCTCTCCCTCTCCAAGCGGTAGCAGCACAGGGCTCGCGGTGAGGCGGGCTGCCTACGCGCCGCCACCCAGGGAGCGAGCGGGAGCAACGCAGTTGGCAACCTAACCTGATAGGCACGTGTGATGAGCTACTAACTACACTGAAACGAAATATCTGCGAATACCGATCAGTCCGATCGGATTAATTCTGAGCGCCGCGACACTAATCCTGCCAGAGCGCCGCAACGGTTAGACCACATCGTGCCACACTCACCGCAGAGCTGCATTCAATCTGCATGTATCAAACAACACCGAAAATACGCGTTCTGTATGGGCACAATAAATTAGCAACTTTCAATGCAATTTGCTCCAATTTGATACCTCTAGGAGGCCATGTTGGGGTCTGTACTTTACAGGCCAACATAATTCATTGGCAATTTAAAACTGCCTTTCTGAATTCACTTGTTTTAGCTCTTGGAGCCCTACACGGTAAAACCAATGTGTGCATTTTTTTTAGGAAAGGGGGAGGAGCTCCTATAATTTGAGGAAAACTCCTCAGAATATAGGCCAGAAGGGCCAGACTTATAGGAGGATTCCTAAAATATGTAGGATTTTCCCCCACTATTTTGTGTGATGTCCTCAAAGAAAAATAGTTTTTCTCAATTTTTCTTAGACTAATTAAGCTCCTCAAAGATTACCCCGCATTTCTCTTTTTTTTTAAACAGGCATTGTTTTAACCGTGTTGAAAGCGCGCGCCACTGACTCTTTTTCACTAGAGACAGTTAAACTAAAAGTGAAGAAGAGAGGGGGGGGGAGGCGACTTGTGACCACAAAGGCTGTGTCCAGGAGACGACGCGACCCACGCCGCTGACACGAGTTGAGCTACTCGAGCGGCCCGACACGACGGACATTCAACCGCGTGTCCGACACGCGTGTCCCGGGGCGTATGTCGTCGTCGCCTTCGGGGAGTGTGACGGCGCCCAGGGGAGAGACACGTTCGGGGACACGACGACGGCGGCAGCGGCGGCGGCTCGGGACGGGAGAGGGGGGAGGGGGGACCGCCAAAAAATATATGTGTTTGTTTGACTGGAACGCCCACCAAAAGCGAGGAGGAGGTCGAGGAGGAAGAGGACGAGGCACGAGGAGAGAACGGTAATGAATAGAGGCCCTCACTGGGGCTCGCCGTGTCCGGGGCGGTAACTCTAACTTACATCAGGGCCCCGTACACACAGGCACGAACACACAGGCACACACACACACGTACGTCCCCACCCTGCGACATAATAAGGCAGCGAGCAGCAGCAGCGCCCGCGCTTCCCGAAACCTGGATTCATATCTCATTGTTGGGCCCCCGTATATGCCCGGGCCGCGTGATGTGCGCGCTCTGGCTGCTGCAGCAGCCGCCGCCCTGGTGGTCCACCGGGTCCCCCACCTCAGCTGGACCACAGCCACGCCCCCGTCATTGTCGTTGCATTCGCACGCGTGTGTGAGTGCATTGATCTCTCTCTCTCTCTCTCT